ACACACACACAGTTGCTCCATGGATATTTCCTTTCAGTCCCTCTGCCCTACAGCATCTCTTTTCAACTCTGTCACAGATAGAATTATACCAGCACAGTGAGCAAAGACCTTGAGGCACAAAAGCTGATGGGATAATTTATGGAAATGCAATTTATCCTTGGCAGAGTGAAAAAAAAACCAAAACAGTGGTTTGTTCTGGAAAGGGGAAAAGGCTATGGATTCTACAGGATTTTGGAATACTCTACTTAGGTTCTTATGTTTTGAGTTTTGCTGGAGAAGTGACAAGGGGTCTTATGAAGCTCTGAGAGGAAATGTCTCCTTTCAAAGCTTCCACTGGTTCTTGGTATAACTACAGGGTCAGGGAGATGAAGAGACATGTTTCTGAATTTTTGGTTTTGAAAGACAAGGCTTTGGGCCAGGTGAGGTGGCACATATCTGTAATCCCAGCAACTTGGGGGGATGAGGCAGGAGGATGGCGAGTTCAAAGCCAGCCTCAGCAAAAGAGAGGCCCTAAGCACCTCAGTGAGACCCTGTCTGTAAGTAAAATAAAAAATAGGGCTGGGGATATGGCTTAGTGGTTGAGTGCCCCTGAGGTCAATCCCTGGTTACCCCAACTTCCCAAGAAAAAGACAAGGCTTTGGTATCCCACCTCCCCAAGAAAAAGACAAGGCTTTGGTATCCCACCTCCCCAAGAAAAAGACAAGGCTTTGGTACACTTTGGAAGAGAAAGATCTTAACAAAGGGTCCCACCTGCTCTGCTCCAACAGAATTTAGTCTCCCCCACCTAATTCTGCCACTCCTAATCTGTCAGAATGAGAACCAAGACCAGGGGTGGCCAGAACTCCAGGGAGAGGGGAGATGGGAGAACCAGTCCCAAGCACCTGAGAGGATATTGGAGCTTGGGTGGGAACTGTCCACAATGGGGTCTCTGTGGCAGGAATGGTCTGGAGACTTAATTTTCAAGGGGGAATATGTTCCTGACCAGGGCTATAATCCTCTTCTGCTGTTGAGAAGAGGTCAGCTTCACACAGCAGCATTGGATTAGAGATGTTGGAGGGTGTAAGAGAGGCAGGGGCCAATATCCATTTTGGTAAACAAAGAGCAAGAGAGGAGAAGTGGCCAGCGTGGTGGCCACTTGTGCTGGATCTCCGAGTGAGCTGGTGACCTTCATTGTGAAAATGGAAGCACCTTCTCCCCCGAGTGCTCAGGAACATCAGGGAGAGAGATGGTCATGCTGCTGTTCATTCTTTCATTGCTCCAACAAACACGAAATGACTTCCGTATACTAGGCACTGTCTGGTCCCTGGAGACACTGAAGGAAACCAGAATTTAACTCCTCAAAATATGAAGAATTGTGGAGCTGGAGACAATTAAGGTGCAGGGCAGCTCTTTGCCTTCTCTCTGTTTTTGCCTGAAAGCAAAGACAGATTTACAAAGACAAAGCTCTTCCTACTGCCCCCAAGGAAGGACAGAAGGCACCTTGTTTTGCAACCCTTATCAGCCCTGAGATGGCACCAGAGGAATCTGGGAGCAGCCTTCACTCCTTCCCACCCGTTTCTTGCCTTTGGAAACCTGGGACTATTTTTACTTGGTCTTATCACCTCTCTAAAATGTTTATTGTTCTGTTAGACACACTGTGCACCGCCTGCATTAATAAACTTGCTTATTTTTTGCTTGTTAATTTCTTTTGTTACAGAAGTCTATCCTGACTATGGATTTATGAGCATTGGTGGCAGGGGGATGGAATTTTTTTTTTCTTCTTTTCACACAGGAGTAAACAAGACAAAGTCCTTGCACTCACTTGTTTTTCTGAAATTGATTTATGTACCTTTTGTTTTACCAGCCCCTCTTTAAAAGGTATCCTTTCATCTCATTAATCCCACAGGCTACACTCAGGCCACCAGCCCTCTAAGGTAAGGTCATAGGAACGAGAGATACTTCTGGTGGCTTCATTAGTGATGGCCATTTATTATTGGGTGCTACACGCCAGGCATCCTGTCAAGCTCCTTATGTATCTAATATACATGTGACAATGTAGGGAAAGAAAATATTTTCTTTAACCCCCAGAAGCTCTTAGAATAGACTCTGGTAACAAAACACAGATTAATGAGAGATAAACAAGAAATTTTTAATATGTATATTTCATATACACATGGGAGGGACCCAGGGAACAAATAGTTTTCAAAAAGTTGGCTTTGATTTCTAGTGCATCTTTCAACAAAGAACAGTAAATTTTTAGAGAAAGAACATGATAAAAGAAAAAAGCTTTGAGTCTCTTGGGGAAGCAACTTGTGGGAAGGCAAATAAATAGCAGATAAAGGCTAGTTAGTAAAGTGTATTAATGCTGATTCTAGGGCTGGGGATGTGGCTCAAGC